GAAAAAACTAAAGGCTGGCAAGGCTTACATGCCTTGTCCTAACTTAGCTTCCAGAAAGCAGACAGACAGGACCTGATTCCAGATTCTTCTAATCACACCTCACTGACTCCTCTGCCCCCAACCTCCATCCACCCTCAGCTTCCTAATTATGTTCTGCATTATTGTTTTTCTACATATGCAACATGTATTATAAAACCTGAGAGTTAGAATTCATCTAGGCAAGTACAGCAATAAGACTACTGATTTTAATGCACACAGAACACACTAGGCCACTTTGTTTTTAAAAACACATCATAACACTTCTCCCCAGAGGACATACGAATGGCCAACAAATATATGAAAAGATGCTCAACATCGCTCGCTATTAGGGAAATGCAGATCAAAACCACAATGAGATACCATCTCACACCTGTTAGAATGGCTATAATCAACAGGACAAGTAATAACAAATGTTGGAGAGGATGCGGAGAAAAAGGAAACCTCATATATTGCAGGTGGGACTGCGAATTGGTACAGCCGCAATGGAAAACAGTATGGAGGATCCTCAAAAAACTAAGAATTGATCTACCATATGATCCAGCAATCCCTCTACTGGGTATTTACCACGAAGACTTGAAAACTCATCTCCATAAAGTTATTTGCCCACCGATGTTCATAGCAGCACTATTCACAGTGGCCAGGACATGGAAACAACCGAAGTGTCTTATAATTGGCTAAAGAAGCTGTGGTACATATATACAATGGAATATTACTCAGCCATAAGAAGAGATGAAATACTGCCATTTGCGACAACATGGATGGACCTCGAGATAATCACGCTAAGTGAAATAAGGCAGACAGAAAAAGTTGAAAATCACATGATATCACTTATATGTGGAATATAAACCTAAAAGCAACAAATGAACAGGACAAACGGAGACTCAGGGACATGGGACAATGGACCAGTGGTTACCAGAAGGTAGGAGGTGGGGGAGTAGAGGTAAACGGGGTAAAGGAGGTCAATATAAAGGGGGGTAAGGGGAGGGTGAAGTGGGTAACGGGGATCAAATATATGGTAGCTGAAGGAAACTGGACTTTGGGCGGTAATCACACAATAGAATATATAGATGTCAAATTATAATGTACACCTGAAAATTAATATAATTGTATTAACCAATGTTATCCCAATAAACTTAATAGAACCCTAAAAACTCTGATCTTAAAAAAAAAAGTCATAAAACTACAAATAACTGACTTTTTGTATTTATTACTTAAAGCTTCTTTAATCTTAAGTAGAAATATTGTTCTGAGAAGCTGTAAATACTTTCAAAGAAAGGGCAGGATAAGTCAAGCTAACAGAGAATTTTTAATGTTTTTTTCATCATCAGGGCAGCAGAAGATCATTGTAATAAAGAATGCATTTCTGTGATGAGGTTCCTATCCTCAGAAATGTCCCCTACGAATATAAAATTGTTATTCAGCTTATCTCATTCATTTTCTAGTGACAGTAAGCCAACACTTTGTGCTAGGGGTATCAAAATGCATGAGATGCAGTTCTCCCTGCCCTTAATGAGCTCTCTGTTGTGTGGGAGACAGGAACAAATTACTACAAAGAAATGATTTGCACCATTTGTGACAAACAGCTTCCTGAAAGCTAAGAAAAGGATGAGAAGGAATTTGCCAAGTGGATAAGGTGGGGGCTGGGGGACAGGGAGAGACTGGTGAGGGTGGGCCCAGAGAACAGCACATGTAAGATAACTTAGAATGAAAGTATTAGCTAAAGTGCTTGCTCTGTGTTAACCACTTGGAAACTGAATATATCGCTACCAAATGGAACTTTTCTGTTCTTATTCATAGCTCTTTATAAAACCAATTCCAATCTAATTGTTGTTATCTCTACTACTCCACTGAAATTGATTTTGCCTTTATCAGCAGAGACTTCCATGTTGCCAAATTCAATCTAGTAGATGCTTTTCAGACATCATCCTACTTGACCTCACAGTAGCATAGGACACAGCTGAACATTCTCACTCTTTGGCTATACTCTCTTCTCAAAAAATTTCCCTCCACCTCTCTAGCTCCTCTTTCTCATCACTTTTGCCAGATTCCTCTTCCTCTGACTGATCTCTAAAAACTAAAGTTCTTCAAAGCTTACTCCAACCTCCCTTTCTCCCTCCCCAGGTGATATCATCCATTCCTGTAGTTTAAATACCACCCACATGGCTCATGATTTTCAAATGTGTATCTCCAAACTGATCTCATCCTCTGTGTTCATCTTGTAAATCCAACTGCCTCCTTGATATCTCAACTGAGAAATCTCTCAGACATCTCAAAGTTAACAAGTTCAAAAGTGGAACTTATTAAAACCTGCTTGTCCCCTCATCATTCCCATCATGACCTGAGATTCATCTGGCCAGTCGCTGGAAGTCATTTCTACCCCTATATCCAGTCACCAAGTCTGTCAGCTCTGCCTCTGCTTACTTTTCCACATCTAGCTCCACCACTGACAACCTGGTCCAGGACACCATCTTCTTGCACCTAGACAGCCATTCTCCAGCACCCCATCCCAATACATTCTCCACAGAGCAGCTACAGTGACAATTTCATTTCCCTGCTTACAGCCCTTCTGTGTTCATCAGTTCTTTCAAAAATATTCCAACTCCATTCTCTCCTTCTGACACGTAAGATTGTGAAGTTGGCGAGTGTGTGTGTGTGGGAGGGGGCATGTGACTTTCCTGGGATAATGAAATGGGGACATAAGATTGTGAAGTTGGTGAGTGTGTGTGTGTGGGAGGGGGCATGTGACTTTCCTGGGATAATGAAATGGGGACAAAAGTGATATGGATCACTTCTGAGTGGAAACTTTAAGAGCCAACATGTATGATACCTTTTTCTCTTCCTCTGCCCTGATGAGCACAATGCTCCAGAGAGTAGCAGCTCCATTAGCCTGGGTTCGTGATTTAGAATATGATGGCAAAGTTGATATGCAGCATAAGTGAGAAATAAACATACAAAAACCTACACCTTCCATAGATCCCAACTGCACTAAGAATGACATACAAATGCCTTACCGTGATGAACAAACTGCAATATAACTGGCTCCTGTGTACCTATCCAACCTAATCTTGGGCCTGTCCTTCCCACTGACTATATTCCACTCACATGGACCCTTTTCAATTTTTGGAATAAGCCAGGCCCCTTTCTACCCTTTCATGCAATGTTCTTTGTACAGTTCACTCCTTAACCTTTAGAACTCAGCTTAACTATTACCCACTCAGAGATGTCTCCCTTATCCACTTTATCAAAGGAGACCCCTCACTGTGATTCTCCATCCCAGCACCCTATTTCCTGCATGGCACACCACAGTCTATAGTAATTATTCATATCTTTGATTGACTGTCTCTCCCACTAGACTGTAAATCGGGGGGTGGAGGGGAGGTTAGCTCACCACTATCTCTAGTGCCTAGCACTGTATGCTCAATATACTACCCTATGTGTGGTAAGCATTCAACAAATATTTGTTCAGTGAATGAACAAATGAAAAAAGACTCAAAAAGTGGCACATAAGAAAACACTACAGACATCGTATCACGTTATCAGGGAGGCAAGGGGTAGAGGTAGTGGTAGGGACAGGAAGGGAACTCACATTTTCAGTAGGAGAACTAAGAATGACTACGATGTACCTAATACTAATTTAGGTATTTACATATGTTCTCTCTCTAGATTTTCAACAATTCTGGGAGGTCAATATTAATATCTCCACTTTATAAATCAGGCAACTGAGACTCAACCTGCTCAAGTAGCAAGACCAGTAACAGCAGCAGTTTCAGTCCAGACCTGCTAACCTTTTCCCTCCAAATCATGATGCTTCCCTAGAAATTAAACCGCTACTAGATTTCATCACTAAGTAATTTTCTATTATACATATAAATTACACTTGTATATGAATACATTTCTACTCTAAGAACCAGTTTTTGTTTTTCTTTTTTGTTTTTGTTTTTTTTCAGGTTTACCCTAAAGCCTGTTTCAGGTATCTCGTGTTAGCTGGGACAAGTGAAAGCAGAAAGATGTAGCAAATCCAAATTAGAAATAAATCAAACACTGTGTTGGAACTTTTTTCTTCAAGTCTTTTTCTTCTCGGAGTAAGAAGCTACTGTGATTAGAAAGTAGGTCTGTGTTCTGAATTCATTTTATGGGACTTGAGATCAACTTATATTAGCTTAATTTATTATCTTGCCCCATCGCCAAATACTGTTCTGCTGGTCACAGAACATGCAAAGTTAAATGGTCTAAGGTTGGGGTCCCCAACTCCCGGGGCCATGAACTGGTAGCAGTCTGTGGCCTATTAGGAACCGGGCCATACAACAGGAGGTTGAGCGGCAGGTAAGTGAGCAAAGCTTCATCTGTATTTGCAGCCGCTCCCCAGTGCTAGTAGCATCACTGCCTCAGCTCCACCTCAGATCATCAGGCATTAGCTTCTCATAGGAGCACTGGTGTCTGGTGCCAAAACGATTGGGGACCACTGGTCTGATCCACATCCTGACTTGATTCGCACAGGCTCCAAACATCTAAACAAAGGAATGAAGCCACCTGGCTTTTTGCCTCTGACCATCTTGGGGTGAAGTAACGTGTTAACAACAGAAAGTTGGGGTCTATGTAACTCCCAAACAGTTCTGCTGGGCTCTGAGTAGACTCACAAAATGATCAGAGCATAAGAAACCTTAGAGAGCATGTACTTTAAGTTTCCTCTTTTAAAAGTTTAGCAAACAGGCCCAGGCAGGCAGTTATTTGCCTAATGAAGCAAGAATCCCGGGTCCTAGTCAAGTGTTCCTTCCATGACAACACACGGCATCCCACACACACAGCGTCCCTAATCAAGAACTAGTGATTATGTCAAAGTAACCAGTAGATAATATATCAATGACACAGACTGTAAATCCCCCAATGTTCCACTTTCTCTTATTCTCCACCAATTAGACAACCCTGAACAAAAAGAACATACGAAATAAAAACAAAGGAGATCAGGAAGAGCTATTTTAATTTTCTGTTAAACATTCTTCCAAAAGCATTATTTTATCCAATATCTTAATGAGTTATAAGAAATAACTAGGAAGATAAATGTGAATAATTAAAGTAAACATATGAAACTAAAAATTATAACAAAGGATTGAGGGCTTTAGAAACGAGTTAATGAGATAATTTTAAAACTGTGCATCTCAAAGCAAATTTTATTCAATGATTTTTCAAGAAAGAAACCCACTTAAAAATATTTTTACTTTAAAAATAGGCCTGTGTGCTGCTACAAATTTCCCCCCCAAGCTGTGATATTTCTTTTATTTACATTTGGGAATAAAATACCACTCGGATGACGCAAAATGCAAAATTTTAATTTTTTAAAATCCCAGTACAGAATTTTAAAAACTATTAATGGAAAATAGATTGAGTGCATAACACTAATTACTGGCCAGCTACTGGTATTTTGTTTTTTCTCTAGTTCTCCCAAGGAAAACTTAAATTGAATCTTCAGCAGAATAATCCTTAAATATACTTTATAAGCAAAATGAGAGCTTTTGTTTACATAGTTTTTCGATTTTGCTGTTCCTAATTTTATTCTGAAACTCAATTTTGCCCCAAACCATAATTACCATATTAACTTTGTAATGCACAGTTGTATGCAATTCAGCAAAGCAGTAGTATACCATCAGGCTCTATTCACCCAGAGCTTAGGAAAAACAGGATTGGTCACACCCATTTAAAAACACATCTTGTACTATTTGCCAATGCATGGTTTCAGTCTAAGTTCTGACAAGGAAATATATGGATATATATCTATATGTCTCATCTTGATTTTCAAAGGTAGGCAAAGAAGTTCTTCACAGCTTAGCTTTGCTCGGCTGAAGCTGAAGATTTTGTAACTTCATAGCCAGACCCATGTTGCCAGTGATTTTCAGTTTGCCTTGAAAGAAGGCCTGCGAGTAAGAAGAAAGAAAATTTATTACTTGGTGTTTTTGTTTTGAGATTACTGATATTTCTAGACTATCCAGCCCTAAGATAATTTATTTATCAGGTCTCTTCCTTTGTTCAAAATGTAAAATTTGGCTTTCTGGAATAGATTTAGAACCAGATTCTTCAAAAGGATGAATCTTTACACAGCACAGTCAAAAGGTACATCTTTCCCAAAGGTCTGCTCCTAGAATTTGAGTCTGCCTTTACCTGCCGTCCTCAATGGTGGTACATTTTCCAATACGAGGCTAAGTGGGTTCATACCAGACTGATTTTGTTTAAAAACATTACATGTGGATCAGGAGTATGAACCGAAATTTTAAGAAGTCTACGGACAGAAAAAGCACATGCATAACACACTTAGAAACTCTTGGAATACAATATGAATGAAGTGTCACCAATTTTTTTCCGTTTTTGGTCTACACGATAAAGAATTTTTCCCTTACAGAGGGAGGCCAGGCAGCCTGCTGAGACTGAGGTACTTGTGTTAATCTTTGACTCAGTAAGAAAAATCAAACCAATCTGAAGTGCAGAGCCACAATTTGTTCCATTTAACAAATGCCTGTGATTAGGTCACATGATGCTTGCTAAATTTGTCACATAACAAAATCCCAGGAAAACTTTAGAGAAATATCAAAATTGGGAGCACAGCATGATTTCCCTGATATATCTCAGTCTTTTAACTCACTCCTTAAAATAACGAAGGGCTAGATGAAAAAAGTTCCTGACAGTCTAAGCTTTTTAACAAGTACTTTACAAAGCCAGGAACTCTTCCGCCTCATCCATGGGAATGCACGGAGCTCTGCTTTTACTACACCTCTGGTAAGGGTGACTAATTCCTTTTTTCCCCTCCTCTGTCTGGACAAACTAAATATTTCCTTTCTATATGGCACACAGCCTTCTGTCTGATGACTTAAAGGTCAGGTGTCTCAGAACACAATATGTTTAACATATGTCCTTTAAAAATATGGACCAGCAGTACCTAAAAGAGAAACTCACCAGCTTTCCCTTTTTTAAACTGAAAGAGAAAATGACTTTCTATTCACTAATTATTACAGAGAAAACATGAATCTTTACCGTTTCGAGAACCCAAACATAAGAATCATTTTCAATCTGGCCCCTAGATGTTCCTCATGTGTGCCTGCTGCTGGAGAACATGCTGCTTTGTTTCAACTGTAGCCAAACACTGAAATTATAATTTCCACTGAATATAATGGTTTCCAGTCAAATCCTCTACTGATCAGAAGGGGAGGTCATTAGCACATTAATAGAAAGGTCTGCCATTTTTTATCTTTAATTCCTTTGGGTGATAACAGATATTCAAGAAAAATAAGCTGATACTTTGCTCCCCAAAAGGTAAACAGACAAACTGAGAATGGAGGGTGGCTGATGTGCGAACTCTGACCACCCTGCCAAGGAAGTGTATGGAGTGAGAGCACAGCAGAATAAGGAGCAGTGGGTGGGAAGGAGGATGACAGCCAGCTCCTATACTGGTGGCCTCTGTTCTGTCCAGATTTTTGGAGCAGGCTCAGTGGGTAGAAATGTCAGTGCTACTGGTGTGTATTGAAACGTCACAAATGTATGACTCGTTTGTCAACGCATCAACTGAAATATGCTCAGGTGCTTAGAAAAACATTTTAAAAAGGAATAAAAGTAAGAGTCAGGTTTAGTTGTTTTATCCAGTCTTTCAAATTACCAGGGGACCACAAGAGCAAGACCTAAAACAAGTCAAGCTGAGGCAATAACAATAAAAATAAAGTTGCAATATAAAGAAGCATCGTAGTTTCCTTTCTGTTATCCATGGCTAACGGAAAGCTCAGTGTATCAAGTCTTTTCACCACTATGTAATTAAAGAATACAAGAAGACCCTTGACAATCTGGGGACCAGGAAAATCTACACAAGGCATAAATACACTATAGACAAATACAATTTAATCTAGCAATTGTGAAAACGTAAAAATGTCAGGCATCCTGCTAAGTTCTTGAAGATAAGTAAGATATGGTTTGCTCCTTTGAGATACCCACAATCTAATGGGGAAGGTAGGCACATTATGATTAATATGTGACAAGTGCTAAGCTAGCAGTCCAAGAAGTGGACAAGAGGAGGGACTGGCTACAGCTCCCCAACAACTTGGAAGGAAGTCTGTGGAGATAACAGCTGAGCTTATTTTAAAAGAGAAGGAGTTTGCCAGGGAAGGATAGCTTGGGGAGAAGAGCATGGGCAAAGATACAAAATGTGAAAGGTCATGCCTTTGCTTCCTCCTTCCACCTGGATTGCTCTTACTCCCCATCTGTGCACCACTCACTTCTCATCACCCTTAGGACTCACTCAGCTCAAGTGTCACTTCCTCTGTGAGCCTGATGGCCAAGAAAGACATGGCTGTTCCTTCCTCCACCCTCCCCAACCACAAATCAGGCATGGCATCTCAGATATTTGGCTGCACTTACTCTTTGCAGATCTGTCTCAATCCAAATTGTGGATGCCCTGAGCATGGGAACTATTTCTTATTCACCTAGGCATTTCAAGTACACAGGACAGTGTCTGCCACATAGTTTGCTCCGTAAATGTTTGTCATTTGTTAACTGAACATTTGGGGGAACATTAAGTTTTGTGGATTTGACCACTTTCCACTTTATGATATGAGACGGAGGCATGAAATAAAGTGGAATGGGCTAAAAGATCCACCTATTAGAAGGACATAAGTGCCATCAAACTTACCGACTGAGGATTCATTTTACCAGTCATTAAAGCCAGTAGGTCCGAGTCAGCCATTGTGATTGTGCAGTCGGCCTTCTTATCTAAAACAGAGATGTAGGAGAAGAAAGGAGAAGAAGAGAGTGTTCAGTTTTATGTATACATTTAGTCAAAAGCCACTAACTGCAACAGAATCACATATAGTATCAGAGTCGTAGGGGAAATGAGCTCTCATATACACTTCCATGGCAGCCTGGTAAAATGTGGCATAAATCACAAGCAACTCTGACATTTAACAAGAAAGAACTGATTAAATAAATGATGGTATATTCATTTACTGGGATACAATGCAATCATTAGATAATATGGATCTATATTTATTGGCCTGAAAAAAATGTTCGTGTTATAGTGTTCGTGATACTGCTCTATAAACCAGTTACAAAACAAACTGTAAGCATGACCCTATTTTTGCTTAAAAACATATATTCATTATATATGTGTAGAAAAAAAAACTGGAAACTTAGACACCAATATATTAATAATAGTCACTGTGGTGCACAGACTCTATTGACTCCCGTGATCCCTGCCTCCTGGCATTCAGGCCTTTGTATAATAACCTACTCTTGAGTGTGGGCAGGACCTGTGACCTGATTCCAGCCAACAGAATGTGTTAACAGTGATGGATGTCATTCCTGTGGTTCTGTTATGTTATATAAGACTCTGTCTTGCTTGCTAGCAGACTCACTCTCCAGCTGCTATGTTGTGAACTGTATTTGAAGATGGCTCCATGATAGGTTATCAGCCTTTAGGACCTGAGGGTGGACTCTGGCCTATAACCAGTAAAAAAAAAACAACAACAACAAAAACAAACAAACAAAAAAAAAACCTAAAGCTATCATTCATACAGCTGCAAAGAAATGAATTCTGCCAGCAACCTGAGTAAGCTTGGACATGGACCCTGCCCCAGTCAAGTCTCCAGATGAGAAGCCAGCCCTGGCCAACACCTTGACTGTAGCCTGTGAGACCCTATGCAGAGGACCCAGCTAAGCTGTCCTCAGCCAAATTACCCACAGAAACTGGGAGGCACTAAATGTTTGCATTGTTTTAAGCCACTAAGTTTGTGATAATTTTTTATGCAGTAATAGAAAATGAATACATGTATCTAGATAAGGGGGTTAATAACAAACTTCTGTAAAGGATCAGACACTAAACAGTTTAGTCTTTGTGGGCCACTGAGTCTCTATCACAACTACTAGACTCTGCCCCTGTATCTCAAAAGTAGCCATAGATAAAACTTATGAATGTGGCTATGTGCCAATAAAACTATTTTCAAAACAGGAAGCATACCCAGAGGGAGAGGATATTTGCAATTCGTATATCTGACAAAGAACTTAGACCCAGAATATATAAAAAATTCCTACCGCTCGATTAGAAAAGGTTAGATAATCCAATACAAAAAATGATCAAATAACATAAAACAGGCATTGTACAAAAGGGGATCTCCAAATGGCCAAAAAAAAAAAAAAAGCACATGAAACAATATGTTCAATTTCATTAGTCATCAGGAAAAGGCAAACTTAAAGCCTGGATGAGATACTATTACAGAGCTGCTAGAATGAATATTAGGAAAAAAAAGACAATATCAGTGCTAGTGAGGATGAAGAGCAACTAACAGATCAATGCAACGCAGGAAGGACTGTAAAATGGTACAGCCACTTTAGAAAACAGTCTGGAAGTTTCTTATACAGCTAACCATGCACATGCCCTACGACCTAGCAATCCCACTTTTAAGGGTTTACTCAAGAGAAATGAAAACATATGTCCACACAAAAATCTCTATGTGAATGTTAATAGTGGTTTTATTCAAATTGCCAAAAGCTAGATAAAACCTAAATGTGCACCAACTGGTGAATGGATAAACTACCCAGCAACAAAAAGGAACACACTACTGATGATACATTCAACATGAGTGAATCTCAGTGAAAAAAGCATGTTCAAAAGGCTGCATACTGTGTGATTCCATTAATAAGACATTCTGGAAAAAGTAAAACTACAGGGACAGGAACTCAAATTTATGGTTGCCAGGGGCCGAGGGTGGGAGAAGGGGACTGACTACAAAAGGACATAACACTTCTTGAAGTGATGAAAATATTCTCTATCTTGATTTTTGGTGATGGTTACAAAACTATGCATTTGTCTAAATTCATAAAATTGTACATCTAAAAAGAGTAGATTTTACTGCATCTCAATGAACATAACTAAAAAAAATGAGAGTGCCACAAATTGTCAAAAATTAGGAGCAAATGAAATTCTCATATAATGTGGAAGGGAATGCAAAACACTATATCCGCATCAAAAAATTGTTTGGCTATATTATACCTTAGTATTTCTACTCTTGGTTATATGCCAAATGGAATGAATACATATGTCCACTAAAAGACACACACGAGAATGTTTATAAACTGCTTTATTTGTAAGACCCCCAAATGGAAACACTACAAGAACACATCAACCATGAAATGAATAAATTCTGGTACATTTATGTAGTAAATATGAACTACTGCTATATGTAACAATATTATGAATCTTACAATGCTGAGCAAAAGAAACCAGACCTGAAAGTATAAATATTTTATGGTTCCATTTATATGAATTTCCAAAATAAAATCACTCTGTGGTGACAGGATTCGAACAGTGGCTCCTTTTGGGACAATAGTGACTAGAGGGGGTGGGAGAGAAGTTTCTGGAGTACTGGCAACATTCTGCGTCTTGATCTGGGACATGCATTTTTAACATTTATTGAGCTGTACATACATTTTAGATTTATGCCCTGTATTACAGGCTAGACTTCAATAAAAATTTTGCACAAAACGAAAAAACAGGTAGTGGAGGTAGTGGGTTGATTTGGCCCATAAACCAGTTTGTCAATCCCTGAATCAGATGGTGGGATTATAGGAGAGTAATTTTTCCATTTTCTCTATCTTTTCTAATTTTGTTTTCACTGCATGTATATTACTTATATGATACAAAGTTTTAAACATATTAATTTTAGTATCACCAAGGTATAATGAAAAAAAAAACAAAACTGTACAACAGACTCCAATATCTCATTGCTAAATTAGCCATGTCTACCTTGGACAAATGAGAGGTTTTAAGTGCAAAAGGAAAAATTCACCAAGAAATCAAAATTCTCAGCAGTGTTTTAGGCAATAAATTTAATGACAGTACTCTTAACAGTTGGCTCCCCCTCAAATTAAAGTGGGACTCTCTCAGAAACCAAGTTACTTTCTATCTCACTATTCTGCTTTTTCTTCACTGCACTTATCTGAAACTATCTTAATTATTTGTATATGTGTTTTCTGTCTATTTTTGTCCACTAGAATGAAAACTTTATGGGGACAGGGCCCTTGTCAGTTTTGTTCACTGCTATATCCACAGGCCCTTGAAGAGTGCCTGATCCATAAAGGGAAATCAATGAATACTTGATGAATGAATGAATGAATGAATGGAGTTCAAAAGATTATCAAATTATGGCCCAATAACTAATCAGATAATCTATGCCTTAATAAAAGAAACAGGAATTGCTATCGTCTGAATGCTATGTGTCCACCTTCCAAAACTCGTATGTTTGAATTATAATGCCCAATGTGATGGTGTTAGTAGGTATGGCCTTTGGGAAGTCATGAGGGTGAAACCGTAATGGATGGGATTAGTATCTTATAAAAGAGGCTGCAAAGAGATCCCTCCTCTTCTATCCTATGAGCCAACAGCAAGAAGGCATTGGCTATAAACCAAGAAGAGGGCCCTCACCGAACATGACCATGTGGGCACCTTGATCTTGCATTTTCCAGCCTCCAGAACTCTTAGAAATAAACTTCTGTTGTTTATAAGACACCCAATATGTGATGTTTGTTATAGTAACCCAAATGGACAAAGACAAGGGTAAACTGTTAAAGCATAGCATGCCTATATTATTAAATAACTAAAACAAGACTGAAAATAAAGTTTTTATTACATATCTTACAACTCAGAAATAGCCCTAAAAAAGAATGAGATTCAGTGGCCAGTCCACATCTTTGCCTTTAACAAAACTTTCTCTTATTACTGGAAAAAAGGTGTGAAGCCTCGAAAATAAAGGAATTTATAATCTAGAAAATCTGGTTCTCTTGTAGACATATAACATCGAATAGCAGAAAGAAAAAAAGCTAAGAAATTGAGATAGTTGGACCTGATTTATAGTTGGACTTGAGCCTAATACTCTAAGAAAGGACTCTTAGTCACTGAAAGGTGCCTTTAGGAAATGAAGTCTGTTGCTGCCATTGTTGATATAAAACATCAGCATTTATTGAGTTCTCACTATGCCAAGCACTTCACATACATGGACTCATTTGATCTTTATAACTCTATGAGGGTCAGAGAGGTCAAAAATTTTGCCCCAGATCACACAGCTAATAAGCAGCTGAGCTAGGTCTGAAAGCAGATTCCTGCAGCTAAAGCCTATACCCTCAACTTTTCAGCTCTATGATTTCCTCGTTATAGGAAGGATATAAACATTCGACAGCTCAGTTTTAACTGGGCATTCATTCCGATGCTTTCTCAGTTCCCCACATCCTTTTGAGGAGTCTAATTTTGCATGAACACATTCCACAGTGGAATGTGTTCATGCAAAATTAATGTTTAATATATGGGCTGGGAAAGAAGCAATGATCTACTGGGTACTTAATAAGCTAAAAGTGCTTTACATACCTTATCTCATTTAATCTCCACAACAGCTCCATGAATAGAAATTATTCTCATCATTTTTGAGATGAGACAATTGGACTCAGGGAAGAGATACATCTAGTAAGTTACAGAGGCAAGGTCTGAACCCAGGTTTGTACGCCCCCAAAGGCTATGCTCTTTCTCGTATACCTCGGGGCTGGGAGAGACTGAGCCTCTCTATATCATGTTCCCCAGAAAAGGACAGGGTTGAGAACTCAGGTTAAGTGCAGGGAGGGCAGAATAAAGGAATGACAGAATAATGTGTCATGTCAGTTTCCTGGAGAGATGCTATGTGAGTTGTTTCAAAGGAAAGGAGGGCGGGGCAGAATTCATGGAGAAGGTACTAAAAGGTACCCAGGCAGGAAAAAAAAAAAATGGTAAATGTGCAAAATCTAAAGTATAATCATTACCAAACTCTTAGAATATAAGCAAATGAAATACATTTAAGTAAATTTCACTTTGTTAACAGTAACTAAATCTCTCAACACTGTGTAAATGCCAAAAGAACTAGCAATTCTCTTTAAGATGCCAGTTCAAACTAGGACAGGTTATTAATGCTTTAACGTAGCTGATCTCTAACAAATGGTCATTTGTTGGCTGATGTAAAAGGAGCTGGTAATTTCCAGTGGGGGCTTTTACTGGATAAGTCCATATTACAGCGCCACTCCTGGATGCCAACAAGTGTCAATTTCAGCAGAAATTACCCTGCCCCAGAGTAAAGCCTTTCAGGTCTGGGATGGGGCACCTAATGTGGGGGAGAGCTCACACTGCCAGAGTCCATAGGTAGGGAACAAGGTTTTTCTGAAATTAAGCAATAGCCTTCCATAAGCATCTTTCATAACAAATCAACACCATAACAAAATAGGAGAAAAAAAATATTTTAATCATCTTAACATCTCCCTGGCATATCAGAATATAATCCTGAAGTAACAATTAAACCTCAGTCATTAAAAATTTGGCACTATTTCCCAAAAGTTCTTTTTATTTCCAAAAGCTAGAATCCAGATGAAGCACTCAGTTTTTCTTCCTCTAACTACCACATTCAAGAGGCATATCACAGAAGGTAAACATACAGTTATTTTTCTGTCTACTCATTTTGAGGGGGAAAAACTACATAAAATTCAGGAACTTTCCACGACAGTGCCATCCTGCTCATACCAGATGGACGCTCTTACTACTGCTCAGCTTTTCCTTCATTAATCTCTAGTTGACTCCTTATTCGACAACACATGTAACACTGCTCTTAACATTTTCTCCTGTTTCCAAGCTCTAAACTCCACTTCAGAAGCACTGCCAACCTTCGTTCTACTTGAAAATGCCCTTGAATATTTACCTACCCTCTCAGGAAAAGAAGTATTCACTCCTCCTCGCTAAGGCTAACCTTCCTTCTACCTGAGCTCTTGACGTCAACCTCTCTTTCAGGAGCGCCCTCGAGAATATATCTATCAATAATAAACTCTACCATCTTTGATAGATCTCCTCCTACACAAGCTTCCAGGTCCCATCAATTCACCCCAAATATCCCTGGCAATGATCCTGTAACAACATCCCTTTTTTCTCACTGCCAACACTGAGGCCATCCTTTCTCCTCACTTAAGACAAGGGCAACATTCATTCTCCTAACTGCTCTCTCTGCCTCTGATTTCTCCCTTTGCAATTCATCAAGTCTAATGCACCAGCTTCATCCTCTAAAACACAGCTCTGACTTTCACTTTTCTACTTAAAAAGCTTTAATGGCTTGATTATGTATCAAATCACGTTCGAAGTTCAAAGCATGGTATTTTAAGCTCTCCAAAAAGTTGGTTCTCAACCATCATATTTCTTAATTGCGCCAGGCTCTATCCAACAAGGGACAGATATACAATATCACTTACTGAATGTTCACTAAGCATCAGTCATTCATTCTGCTGTTCGTTTTTATTTTATTGAAAGCCTACCATGTGTCAGGTACTATTCTAGACATTGGGAATGCAGCAGTGAATCTAACAGGCAAAAAGCTCTGCCTCCATTTGGCTTACAATTAGAGAGGGGTAGCTGAACAATAAGGAAATAAATGAGTAAAATATTATGGTATATCAGATGGCAATAAGTACCATAAGGAAAAACAGGAAATGGTAATGGGGGTGTGACTGTAAAAGTGTGATTAGGGAAGGGCCTCCTGAGAAGGTGACATTTGGACAAAGATGCAAAAGAAATGAGGGAACAAGCCGTGAAGATATCTGAGGGAAGACAATTCCAGGCAGAGGAAACCAAGTAGGAAGCCCCTGAACTGAGAACACCCCATATTCAAGCAACAGCAAGGAGGCCAACATAACTGGAGCAAAGTGAGGGAGAGTGTAGTAAGACAGAGCATACTGGGGCCAGATCATGTGGTACCATTGTCAGAACTCTGGCTTTTACTCTGAGTGAGTAAAAAGCCATTGGATGGTTTGGGGAGGAGGAGGGTCACGACCTGACTTAAGTTTTAAAATGATCACTCCAGTTGGTGTGTGGAGAAGAATCTGTAGGAGAAAAGGTTAGAAGCAGGGAGATCAGGCAAAAATAATGATAGAAGCTTAGATCAAGGTGGTAGTAGTACAGGAGGACAGAATTTGCTGATGGATTAGACTGTGGAGTGTGAGAAAAAGAGGAGCCAATGATGACTTCAAGGTTTTTGGACGAGGAACTGGTAGGACACAGGAACAATTTACCGAGACGGGGAAGATAGTGGAAGGAGCACATAAATAATGGGGAGTCAGGGGAAGATCAGGAGTTCAGTTTTATATATGTTAGCTTTGGGATACCTATTAAGTATCCAGGTAAACTTGCCAATTAAGCAACTGGATCTATACCTTGGAATTCAGTGATTGGGTCCACACTGATGATATCTGGGAGTCACCAGTGTAGAGATGGTTTTAAAAGCATGAGACTAAATGAGATTTCCTAGTAGATAGAACTGAGCCTTGGAGTACTCCAATGTTTAGAAATCTGGAGATGAGAAAACAGGAAGATAGGCCAAAAAAGAGCAGCCAGTAGGTAAGAGGAAAGCTTGGAATAATATCATCATGAGGGCTGGGAATTAACCACTGAATTTAGCAACTGGTGACAAGAATAATTGTGGGATAGTGAGGAGGGCAAAAGCTGACTAGAGTGGGTTCAAGAAAGACTAGGATGTGAGGAAGTGGACAGTGAGTACAGACAGGTCTTTCAAGCCACGTAACCATACACTGGACCACGTGCTTTATAGATTAAGAGATAATTCTCTTAATCCTCCCATCAACCCTGTGAAATAGGTACTACTTATTATTCCCACGTATGGATGAGAAAACTGTGTCTCAGAGAAGTTAAATAATTTATTCAAGGCCAGAACCCGTGAGTGGCAAGGCCAGGACCCTAATCCAAGCTTGTCTAATTCCAAAGTTTAGGATTGCCAACTCTGTGATTGGGCTTCCAATTTTTGGGAGGAGGCAGCTGTGACCTATTCCTGTTCCCAAGGATTCACTAGTTCTTTAGCAAGGTTCTAGTTCTTTAACAAGGTCCCAAAGCCAGCCTTTTTTGGCAACACCAGAGCAGACTCCCATTTTCCTTCGTGAACTTGTCAGTGTTCCTACAAATGAAGTTATTATCGCACCGACCTGAGTTAGGGAGCACGGATCCTTTGCCGTTCTTCACATCTACCACCCAGGTGGCTTCTTTACCCTCAGGGCCATCCTTCACCTTGAAAGCAAAAATACCACCGATTTTCTTCACAAACTGTTCCCCTTCCTGGAAAGAAAAATAACACTGAGAGTTACATTAAGTTCCTTTCTCTGGCTTTTCCCTCAATCAGATTAAATGTTTTAAATAGACACATGACGTGAGCAGCAGGCAGTCCCCAAGCTCCCTTAGGATCTTCTACCCAGAAAAGTCTCAAAGGCCACCAGGCGACAACTCCCTCATCTGCCAAATCTTTTGTTAAAAACGGCTTTCTGGAAACAACTGGAAGAAGGAAAAGGAGGATGGGGGTGGCACGGTAGCATTTTCTAGTGAAATAGCCTTCGTTTGTCTAAATCATTTCTAAAAGATTCACTCTGATGTCTCTAAATGTATGAACTCTCTCTCCCTCTTTTTTTTTTTTTTAGGTTAAATTCCTTTACATATATTTTTGGTCCCACAATCAGAACTAAAAGATAAGTGGTTCTGAGACCAAAGTCTTTTTTTTTTTTTTTCGATCAACCCATTATCTGGATTGGTATAAAGAGTTACACAAGTAATATATCATCTACCACTCACTTTTGGAAGAATGAAGCTGGAAAAAATAACCTCAGATACATATCTCTCTAGGTTGGTTTCTATTCCCCTTCCCTCTTCCCTTCATCCTCACTCTCCTTCATCTTTCCTGAAATGTTTACTGAAACAACTGGCACCAGACATTGTTCTAGGCACCAAGAATACAGAAGTAGGAGTTAGAAGGTGAGTGATAATATACTGTGATGACTATGACAATACACAGTGATAAAAGGAAGCACAGAGGAGCAGCTAAGCCAGCTGGCAGGGGGAAGGAATGACGATCATATCACATACCTTTTAAAAAAAATAAATAAATAAACCAAAACATAATAATTTTATTACAATCATTCTTCTGTAAATGAATTTTTAAAAAGTTCAAAGTCTTCTCCATATTCCTTGAAATCTATTGTTCCTCAAGGTTCTATGGAGACAATCTAGAAGAGTAGGTTAATAATGCTGTGTGCTGGGTCACCCAAGAGCCAGGCTCCCTTTGCGGCCAGGGATCCCTGAGAGACTACTTCCAGGTGCATTTATGCCATGTGCTTGCAAAATGCCTTAGGAACAGGGCTATGACAGACACCAACAAGTTAGAGGAGGAAACACCAGCAAACATTTAGAAATTCTACCTGTATACTTGGAGAGAAATGCCTCCCACCTCCTCCATACAGATGTAGATTAATTTTGCACTTGCTATTACTTTTCAGAACCAACTGATCCCCTTATAAAATCACATCCTTTGGTCAATAAAACATTTTCAATTGAAGAGGGAGGAAGAGAGTTAAAAGGGGAAATAAAATACACATTTGTTGCGAAACTGGAGATCATTAATACTAAGCAAGTTCTAACGGCCTCCTTGCCTGAAGAAAAGTACTTCTTTCTGACTAGGTAAAAGGTCAAGGAGTAGGTCCTGTTGTAAACATAATAGGAACAAAAAATTAAGAGAATTCAAAGAAGGGCCATGGGGTGCTGCTAACAAAAAAAGAGAACTGCTAAAAAAAAAAAAAAAAAGTGGAAATAAAATCTCTTGTCAGACTTCTTTTGCTAAGGCAGAAAATGCATGAATTGACAAAAGATTGCAAGACTTTCATTTTCTAGTCCTGTAAACATATAGGAAACTGACAATCGTGGGAAGGAGAAAAGAAACAAGAGGACAAGGTCCATGCAAGTGAGGTTATGGAAGGAGGAGAAAAGAAAATGGGAGCAAGAGGCATACATTTGCAAAGCTAAAAGGAGACTGTGAAAGAAAAACAGGACTGCTTTGTTAATCTCAGAATGAAGTACTCAATGACTGACATCTAGCCGTACCAGATACTCTCTAAACTGATCATTTTTATTTGATTTTTTTGGACAGAATAAAGTTGAAAAAAATGAGGTAAAACTTGGCAGAAGCAACTATTCTATGGGTTACCCTGTCAGCAAATATTGGTGGCATAAAAAAAAAAAAATTTCAAGCTGAGCCCTTAGTGAGTGCAATTTCATTTTAGTGGACGCTTGTACTGAATGAAATTTTTAAAAATTAGATATTTTTTTCTACTAGATTGGCAAATATATATATGAAAGCAGCCAATATAGCACTGGAGACAGTATAAATTTAAAAAGTTACTCTCATGAACTATTATAATATTTGAAAATTGGTACCCCTTTTTGGTGGATAATTTGGCAATATGTATCAAAATGCAAAATACACACATCCAACTCCTCCACAATTTCCCCCTTTAATTATTTACGCTAAGGTAATTGTGACATTAAGTACTTAAAGATAAGTTCAGTTTACAGCCATGTCGCCCTGAACAAGCCCAATCCCGTCTGATCTTAGAAGCTGAGCAGGGTCGAGCCTGGTTAGTACTTAGATGAGAGACCACCTAGAAAGACCAGGTGCTGTAGGCATAAAAATAATAATAATAATAATAAGGAATTGTAAGCTGACAAGGTCCTTGCAATCTGTGAGATCAACCAAGGGTTGCCTCGCCTAAAAAAAAAAAAGATAAATTCAAAGGGAAATTTATTAAACCATTGTTTTTCTTACAAAATTTAAATACAACCAGACGTTCATCATAGGAGACTAATTAAATAGATTATGGTACACACATTCAAACATGTACTATGTGATTACTAAAACTGATGGTAAGAATTTATGTGTATGGGCATGGAACATACTGTCAGCAGTTAAAAGCAGGTTATAAAACAAAATCAGGCAGATGTATTCCCACAAGACAGTGGAGGGACAGGTCAGTAGCAACTGGACCAGTGCTCCTCTGTCCAGAACTCTCAGCCTTGGCCTTCTCTACCTCAGGAAGGTTGTTGGTCATTATAAAAATCCTAGAAATGCAGGGTCCTTTGCCAAAACACATGGTCACATTAGCTGTTTTCCCACCCACAAGACAATCACCTTACATGTTGAGAAGTCCTTTGTGCTATAAATAAGGGGGTTACAAGATATGCACAATGTTTACATTCACACTGTGGCTCTAACATGAGTGAAATACATAGCTCAAATGTTCTGAATCTTTTTCTTTATTTCGGCCCCTTTGGATCAGCTTAACAGATAATGTATTTAGAATCGTTTGTGGCTGTAACTGCCTTGTTGGTCTCAAAATTAAATCAATAATAAAATCTGAAGATGCCTTTACGTTTGAATCAATGAAAAAAATATTTCATTTTGCCTGAAGAGAATAGCTCTCTTTTTTGGAGAGTTACTGTTAAATTACCTTAGTATGATTATTATCTAGCAAGAACTAATTATTATACATAAAAAATAGATCTGCATATATAGTATAATTTAAAAAACTCACTCTGTATTGTATGATCCTCATTGTGTAAAACTATGTTCATACACACACAGAGACGTCTAAAAGAATGGCAAGCAGTGTTAACATTTTAGTGAACTCTAACATTTCAGGAGATTTCTAATTTTTGTTTTATATGTTTCTGTATAATGTGTTTTTTTTAAAAAATTCACATTATTTTTACCAAAAAAAAAATTAAAAACTACTCTGAAAAAATCAAGCACAAAAGATTTCTTTTTAAAAGGAGTTTTGACATTAGATAGCTTTAAAGGCTACTTTAAGTATTCTTTTGAACAGTTCTAAGTAAGATCTTTTTAATTCATAATAAAGTTATACCAAAATAAATTAGAATCCCTTTACATAGAAATTTTGTCCATAATTATCATCTCCCTGACAAAGAAGATGGAGAAAAGAGTGACATGGGTTAGCCTTTCCTCTGAAGTTAAGATTTTAACAGCAATTTACTATAGTTATTTATATTATACAACTCAAATCTGGAGATTTATATATCTCTGAAATGCACTCTTACCCGAATTACAAGGAAACCATAACAGATACTCAGAAATCTAAAATACACTCAGTACTTGACAATATGATATAAATTTTCAAATTGTACCACTTCATGGCGACATCTGAAATCTGTATGTGCTCCCTCTAGCCTTAGGGTCTTCCTGGTAGTATTTTATATAAATCTTACCTCTTCAAGCTTTTTCTCAATCTCCTTAAAGACCAAATTTGCCTTAAATCCATCCGTTGCAGAGCTGGTTGGAGCAGCCTGAATTTGGTGAGTTCTAAAAGAACTGAGGGAAAGACTGAATTTCAGTCCATGGAGTCATATATGTACTAGGTTTTTCCACATTTATACAGTAGTCAGTCATTTCAAAAACCCTAAAAACAGAGATGCTGTGACTCTTACCCAAAGGAAATTGTTATTAAGTCCATAAAACAAGCTTTACTTCTCTTTTTTTTTTTTTTTCCAATAATATGAGTGCTCACTAGATGCTAGGTATTATCTTTGAAAATATGGTAAAAGCAAAGAACCTACCTTCATGAAGCTTATATGCTAGTGGGGAAATGAGACAATGAACAAGGAAAAGAAAAGAAAAAAAAAGAGAAGAGAAGAGAAAAGAAAGAGAAAGAAAGAGTTACAATGAAGAAAATAAGGCAGGTTAAGGAGATTTAGAGAAAGTATATTTATGTGTTAGGTGTTCTATTTTAGATCGCCTAGTCAGATAGGCCTCCCTGAGGAGGTGATGCTTAAATTATGTCAGTGAGCAAGCCATGTAAAGATTTAGGTGGAGAAGCCAGTTCTTAAAGAACCTAAGGCAAAAACTAGTTTGGCAGTTAAAGGAATTTAACAACCATCTGACTATTGGTTATATGATATCTGGGGAACCACTATAGCTAGATATGACGGAAGGAACACAGTCTTTATAGCTACAAAGGCCTGGGTTGGAATTTGAAGGGCTTCCTCCACTCACTAGCTATATGATTGTGAGCCAGCTACTTCCTCTCTGTGTACCTCTGGTAAGGAGGTAGGGAAGAAGGTGGCGAGTGCCAGTGACTTTGCAGAATTAAATGGAATCCTGTGTGTAAAGTACCTAGCAGAGACCCTGGTTCATGGTTCAAGAGAGAGAGAGAGAGAGAGAGAGAAACATGACTGTTAAGGCCTCCAGAGCTTAAGTGTTAGATACAGACAGAAACTCAAAGAGTCTGAGGAGGATGAGGCCACCTAAGGATGTTAGGTGATTCCTCTGACACATTGCAAGCATGCTGGTGGTAGCTGGTATAGAGACTGGAACAACATGGGAAAGGAATATTTGAAGCAGTCAAGAGTGTGGCAACTGATCAGTAAGTATTTCTTTCTTTACCCCTTATCCTTCCTTCTGGTTTTTTTTTTTTTTTTTTTGTCTATCCCCACCTGCCCTACCCATCTCTCCTTTCTCTTCCCTTTCCTTCTTTCTATCATTTCATAAATATTTAATGAGTGCTTGCTACATGTTCAAGGCACTGGGAGTATAACAATAAACAAATCAGTCCCTGTCCTTACTGAGTTTACATTCGTCCCATGCAGGAGAAAAAGAAGTACACAGACAAAATAATTGCAAGTATAAGGAATAGCGAACAAAAAGAGGAACCTGCTTTAGATAGGGTGATCAAAGAATGACATCTTTGAGAAGGTGAATTTAAGCTAAGACCCAATTAAAGGAAGAAAAGAAGCTAGTCATTCAAAGAGGAAACTGCCAAGTTCCTGAGAGAGAGGGAGTCTGGTATGTTAAAAGAAAGTAAAACATAACCGGTGTCACTAGAGCACACAATAAGTTGGGGGAGAGTGACATGAGATGACACTGGAGAACCAGGCAGGAACCAGATCATGCACACCAAAGTAGGAAATCTGGGAAGCACCGAAATGATTTAAAAAGAGAAGTGATACAGTTTGATTTGTGATTTTTCTTACAACAGTATGCAGAATGAATTGGGGAGAGCGGTACAAAACCAGAGATGGGGAGACAGGAGGCTGCTGGAGTAGTTCAGATAAGATGTGATGGTGGTCTTGGACTACAAGAGAGGCAGTCCGCCAGTGGAGATGGAGAGAAAGAAGTGGATTCAAAAATAAATTTTGGAGACAGAATCCATAGGCCTTGCTGCTAGGAATGAGAGAGATCTAATGGGGATGGGAAAGGGCAAGGATGATTCAGATGTTCAGCCTGAATAACAGAGGAAGGTAGTGCCATTTATTGATAAAAGAAAGAATGTAGTGGGAGTAGAGGGGATCAAGTTCCATTTAGGCACATTAAGTATGAAATATGTGTGAGAAAAGAAGGCAGTTAGATATGAGAGTCTGGAGCTCAGAGGAGAGAAGTCTGGGCTGGAGATAAAATGGAGATAATCATCAGCATAATTAAAGTATTTGAAGTAATCCATGGGAACTGATAAGCTCACCTTGAGAGAGTTAAAGAGAAAGAAGAGAGCCCAGGACAACACCTAGTGGAAGTCTATTCAGAGGTCTCGGAGAGAAGGGGGAGAGAAGGGGAAGCAGCAGCCAGTGATGCAAGAGGAAAACCAGTAGAGCATGGTGTTACACAAGCCGAGACGGGAGAAAGAATCTGGAGGGAGGAGTAAGCTACGTTAGTTTAATACTTCTGAAGGTCAAATACTTGCAGGATTTGGCAAAATGCAGAACACAGGTGACTTTGAGAAAAGTAATTTTAAGGAAGCGATAGAAGTTAGATTATTGTAATTAAAGAGTAAATAGAAGAAGGAAGGAGACAGTGCAGTTCTTTAGAGACATAACTTTCAGGGGAACAGTGGTCTCTGGGAGGGGTGTGTAGTATCAAGAAAAGTGTGTTTTTGTTTTAAGATGAACATATTGAGCATGTTTGCCTGATGATGGTAATGAAACAAGGAAAAGGAGACAGAAGGAGAGAAGTCCTGACAGGGGACGAGATCTGTAACAGGAGGAGGAGACTCAAGGGAAGAAAGAGGATAAGATGGGTGCGTCTAGATAAGTTCCTAAGTCTTGAGATAGAAGATGAGGGAGTTTGGGTCTAATGGCTTCCAATATTTCAACAATATATAAGGCAAAATAATCAGCTGAGAATGAGGGAGAAAGGATGGGTAGAGGAACTCTAAGAAGTTGAAAAGTGAGCCTTCCAGAGAAATCATACCACTATCATGAGCAAGGAACAGAACCTGAGCTCCTGCCATACTGAAACCCGTGCAGTTCTCAGACCCCAGGATGCCACCTCACACTTCCAAGCCTCTGCCCGTGCTGCTCCCCGTGTCTGGAATACCTCTGTCTTAGCAAATTCCATTTTAACCTCCAAGACCTAGGCCAGGAAGCTCCTTTTCTGTAAAACCCTACTAAATGTCAGCTTCTCAAGGGCAGATGCCACATCTTTCTTAAAAAAATAAAAATCTTTATATCTCCAGTTCTCACAAGTATTCAGTAAATAGTGACTAAATTGAATGGAAATTACACTGAATTCTCCCTTACCTAAATCCTAATTTTTTCCTGTTCCATTTACAACAATATTATCTATGGTACACCATCTTCTCTGTCAAAAGTCTGAATGAGCAACCTAAAATCAGGGAGTTTAGGTCTAATGGCTTCCAATATTTAAAATCAGGTAGCCATGACTGGTCTTCCACAAGTCAATTTCATTTCATTAATGGTCCAACTCTTCAGCTTTTAATCATCATTCCCTTCACCAAGCTTGATGCTTCCTAACTGTACATGATAAAATAATAACAGATACTAGTAGCACTTTTCGTTACACAAAATATTTTAATAATTTGTGGGCCAGAGTCCAGATAACAAGCTCCCACAGGTCACAGATCTCTCTTTATTTTGCTCGTTTTGAAAAGCTTATCAATTTAATGGTTAACCAATTTTTCATATTAGAAAAAAAGTTAATATATAAAATGTTTTATCAATATTTTCTGAAAATCCTTCATACTTTATAATTTATTTGATATGTGCCCTGCTCTAAGGAAACCGAATATAATAACTTAAGCAAACTTGGAAAAGGATTCTCTTCATGATTTCTTTATATACAGTGATTTTAGTAAAAACTAAAGTCTGATTTTTTTAAACTTAACTTATCCACAAGTTTTCTGAAATAAATCAGGTACCTAAAATATTGGAAGGGACTTTGAAGATTAATTATTAGGTATATGAATTCCCTCTATGCTTCCTGAAAATTTTCACCTAAGGCCTAGAATACAGGCATCACTTCAACAACGTCAAAGATCAGAAGCACAGAGTAGCCAACGAAATAGGAACTTTGCACTCAGATGAAGGTTAGAATCTTGATTGCTACCACTTAAAACTCTCTTTAGATGAGGAGTTTTATCTCTGATCATGAATCTCCTCATCTGTAAACAAGGTATAAGATCTACCACTTGGGGCTTTTATGAAGATTAAACAAAGTACATATGAAGCACCTAGCAAGGTCCTAGAACACAGCAGGCCCTTGAAAAGTGGTGGTTAAAATAACCACTGCACCTCAATAATAAAAAGACAAATAACGCATTTTTCAAATGACAAAAAAATCTGAATAGATATTTCTCCAAAGATATACAAATGGCCAGCCAGTAAGCAAATAATAAGATACTCAACATCATTAGACATTAGGGGAATGCAAGTCAAAACCATAATGAGATACCATTTTGCACCCATAGGAGCTAAAATTAAAAAGCAAACAATATCAAGTGTTGGTGAGGATGTAGGAAAACTGGAATCCTTATAATAGAATATTTTTCGGCTATAAAAAGAAATGAAGTACAGGCATATCACGTTTCACTGCATTTTGCTTTACTGCACTTCACAGATACTGCAGTTTTCACAAATTGAAGGTCTGAGGCAAGGCTGTGTTGAGCGTGTCTACCAGTGCCATCTTCCAACGGATTTGCTCACTTTGTGTTTCTATGCCACATTTTGTTAATTCTCACAATGTTTCAAACATTTTCGTTATTATTATATTGGTTACCATCACCTGTGATCAGTGATCTTTGACGTTACTATTGTAACTGTGCTCATATAAGACGGTGAACTAAGTTAATAAATGTTGTGTGTGTTCCGACTGTTCCACTAACCGGCCATTCTCCCATCTCAGCTCCTTTCCTTGGGCCTCCTTATTTCCCTAGTCACAACAATATTGAAATTAGGCCAATTAATAACCCTTCAATGGACTCTTAAGTGTTCAAGTGAAAGAAAGAGTCACAAGTCTCTCACTTTAAATCACAAGCTAGAAATGATTAAGTTTAGTGAGGAAGGCATGTCAAAAGCCAAGACAGG